AGCGAGGTTAGCCAGCTAGCGGCTTCCCTCCAGGTTTGCCTTTTATTACTCATTCCATCAGGAATAGCTTGACGTCATTCATGAAGCAGATGTCGGTTCTTTTAGCATCTGTTTCTCCTGCCAGTTGGTTTTGTTGAGGTTTTTACCCGTCTGCAGCTCGCTGGTGTAAATAAACCGCTGTGCCGATAGATTGGCAGCTCTCGGTCCCGTGTTGTTAGCTAGCAAAGCTAATTCAGTCGGTTACGCACTTTGTTTGCTTTTGGAGAGACGCACGAGAATAATGAAACGTTGTTAAATGACATGTTGTGGTTGAAAGTGGTGACAAATGTCGTTGAGACTCTTTTTACACGACTTTTTAACCCTTCGTTGTTTGCGCGGATTAAAGGAGAGACACGGTTCTGGTCTGTCTCTACAGACATGAGAACATCAACCGTCTCCTCATCCAACTCGGCGAGGAAGCAAACGGGCGTATATTCGTCCTGCATGACTTGTGTAAACGTGCACGTAGTGTTACTTGGAAAGCTTCTGGAGGCTCATGCGGCTTCAACGATATTTTGACAGTTTGTTTACTGCATCTCAACCATAAACGTCCCAAGTTACCACGACCCTGTCACCGAAATGGTCGCCATTATGGCAATTAGACCCGGTTTGAAGAGGCTGAATCCTTCCTCTAAATGCTTCCTTGTCTAAATGTGTCCCTCCCGAGGAGATAAGAGGAAGCAGCGGGGTCCGTCACTCTGCACACTGAAGAACGCTTCCTTCGGCAAGTCGAGCGTCAACGTGGAGCTTGTGATTCTCTCCTGCTGGGGCGGCGGCGGCTTGTGTGGGTTTAGAAATGTTCCGGAGATGAATTAGGAGGAAGAGGCCACGGCGATGAATACACATGGTGGCTTTGGGATGTCACGTGGCTTCCCCGGGATCCACGTTGACCCCCCCCCCCCCTCCCCCCCCCCTTGAAATGCGAAAAAGAAGAGACGCGCCTCCTCCTCTCACCGCAAATGGGATCCTATATTGTCAGTTTCTATTTTGGAGTTCCTGTATCGGAATCGCGAGTGTCTGATAGCAGTTGTCTGGGAAAGGCGGGAGCCGCCCCGGGGCTTTGCGGTCTGCTCTGACACCGTCAAATTCCCAGCACGGCGGCCCGGGAACGGGGACTGGGAAGTGTCCTGGGGAAAACCGCGTTCCCAGTGTTTCGCCGCATTCTTTGACGGTTTGAAATGAAACGCGAGCGGCTTGTTGTCGCTGCGTTTGAAAGGCAGGTGTTATTTCGTGAATCCCAAACCGCCCTTCTCATCTCCCGCCCCGGCCCTCCGCGCGCTTCCATCACACGTTCCACTCAGCGGCACCGGGCGCCTTGCAGGGCTGGAGATGTGGGAACGGACATTTTAAAGTGTCGTCTTTGTTCTGCGCCGGCTGAATTAGCCCGAGTATTTCGTCTGCCAGCTCAAAGGCGGGTGCGTGGACAGTGAAGTGCACTTGCATTTTTGTCGAATACATAAAAGGTTCACCACAATGGTCTCCTCAAAGTCGCTTTTTTAATTTTAATCCTTGGCCGGCAATCAAAAAGTTCCACTGAACAGATTAGAAACAAAAGAGCTGGAGAGAAGAAGCAAAACTGTGGCGATGCTTCGTTCCCTAATATTACAAATTCAATTTCTCTTCTCATCCTGCTTATTGAATAACCATTGATAATCTCCACCAGAGCAAAACACGCGGTAGGACCACTCTGTCACTCCGGATATTTGGATTACGGAGGAATCCCCCCCCTGCTGCTGCTGCATGCCAACGCTTGACTCTGAGACTTTCTCCCAAAGATGTCGGCGGCCAGGAACACGGCCTGCAAACCAACATTAGAAGACAAACGGTCCTGCAGTCCTCCTGCTGGGGGCACGCTGGGGGCACTCTTATTTGACTCCGGGCTACACCCTCCTTTATGCTCCAGAGAAAGCGCCCCTGTCAAACCCGAGGCCAGAACAATGGGGGCCGGCGGCGGGGGGGGGGGGGGGGGGGGGGCTCGGCCATTTGCATGCAGCTGTTGGCCGTTTCCAGGAGCACAAAGGCCAATCAAAGGAGGCCTAATGGAGGATGACAAGCGTCACCCAACGCCTTTGCTCTCTGTCTGTGCCGGCCCTCGCCGCTCCTGTCTACCCGCCCCGAAAAAGCCCCCCCCCCCCTCCCCCCTCTCCTTCTGTTGGGCCGTCCGTCCCGCCCGGCGACGTCATGAGGCTGTAGGGTTAAAGGCCGCCCGGGCGACTGCCAGTGCACCGAGCAGCAAAGGCGACCCACCCTCCTCCCCCGGCGCGCGCGTCACCGTCTGGCGCTCGCTGCCGCCGCCAAATAGCGAAACACCCGACACCGAAACCGCTGTTGTCTTTTCGCGTCGTCTCCGGGGGTTTTAAAAGCCACCAGATGCACCCGCCTGAGCCACAGTCCCACTTCCAATTTCACGACTGTTGATAGAAAACAAAATATGTATCATGAGGGCGAGGGAGGGAGGGCGAGGGAGGGAGGGAAGTGGGGGTTTCAGCGAAGGCGGTCGACTCGGAGAAGAGCAGAAACTCCCAGGATGCAACATGTTGTGAAGCAGTCCTTGGCCCCCC